AGGACGTCACCCCTCCCCATGGCATTTCTAAAGGAATTTCTAAAGTTACAGCACAAGCGAAACGCTTCCTTCGCAGTCACGCCGCTTTCATTGATCTTGCCCAACTCAGCAATGCTCAGACACGTGCTCTGATGCTCTGTGCTGTATGATTAGGCCCTGAAAGAGACCCCGAGCGGGACAAGGTGGGAGACGGGATCAAGCTACATGCCATGGCCCATCCCAATGCACACAGCGCCTGCCCGAGATCCTCGCGCTCGCCGGTGTCCGTGCTGAACCTCTCCACAGAGCAGCCGACGCCGGCCCGGGGCGGCAGCCCTGACGAGGTGCTGGCCCTTCACAGCCTCAGCACCCCGAGCTGTTGGGGGCAAGTGCAGCCCTGACAGAGAGCTCACAAGCTTCTGGGCCCAAACTGCCCCGCGGCCAGCACGGGCACCCCGCAGCGGCAAGGCAGCCAGCAGCCCGCGGCTGCAGCCGTCAGCACCAGCCCTCAGCACCATCGTGGTGRGGAGGCCCCCAAAAAATACGGGCTGAGATCCCATGTCTTGTCCAGCCATGGGCTGTAAAGACAACGCTCCACTTGCCTCTGATGGGCTAGCTGTAAAACACCACCACGCGCTCTCACTCTAGGTGCCCCACAGCAAATGCTTGGCACTCTGAAGTGTCCTTATGGTTCTCTCACACATCCAGCAATCCCTCATCATTATCGGACAAAAAAAAATAATAATAAAGAGTAAGGTTTCCAACAGCTGCAGAGTTGCTCTGACAGATCCTGCTGGAACGGTGCTCCGTTCATTTCCATGCAACACCCACCTGTGGGGCAGCCCTCCCCTAGTTCACTCTTTGCTCTGCGCTACCCAAGCGCTACGCGCACGTGCAATGCTACAACATGCACCCAGAGTGGATTCTGATGATTGTTAGGGCATTCCCACAAATTCYAACACTTTACAGAGCATAGACTTTCACATCTTTAAGGCTCATACATGTCTTAGCAATTAACTAATGATATTTTACACTAATGTTTTGTTAGTTACATATACACATAAATAGAAAATCCTGCAAAGTTTCTTCACTCGGCTTCATCAATTCACACAATCTTTTGCAGTCTTTTTTCTCCCATGCTCTCACACAGCATTTTAAAGAAACAGTACCCATTTCCTCACAGGATATATAACGTATACACTGCAAAGTGGGGCAAAGGAGCAGGAATTCTATATCACAAATAGTAAAGCTTTAAAAATATCAACAAAGCGGAACGTTCTAACATAACAAATGAAGAGCCCTACATTAAAAAAAGACTTCATTATTTCAGTATCTCTTTGTTTGCTTGTTTAACCATCCCCTGGGACAATCTGTACCGTTAAGAAACGTGTAGAAAACAGCCATCAGTTTTTGTTGTTGTTCAATTAGTGCTATACTCAGTGTTTGAGCTCATGCAAGTGTCCTTTGGGGAAACGTCCTGCGTGCCATTAGCACTATTCTTAATGAGGGAAAGCATGAAACTCCTTTAGTGCTCTGCCAGAATTGTTTTATCTTCAAGTCAAAAGAACAACTGTTTGGAGTAACCCCAAAAAAAGCATTTAACAATTACAAGCGGCAAACAATATTCCCAAGCATTATACTCATAGCACCACTCTATTTATAGACTAGCAGTTATTATACGGAATAAAGTATGTATTAGGCAGCTTTATTATGTAGACATAGCCATGATTCCTCAATTAAGGCCACTAAGATGGTTTCCATTACAAGCTCCGTTTTATCCCTTTTATTCCTTCTAGGAGAGGTAGGGTGTGGAGCAGGAGGGTGTCTCATGTTTGGTTTGAAGACAAAAGAGAATATTTTTAGGAAATTTGAGGGTGATTGGAGGGATGCTACTTTTGATATAGGACATAGGCATCTTTTCAGAATCTCTTAAAAATATTTTTAACTGCAACTTTTCTATTCATCTACTTTTAACTTGTTCTCCAGATTAAAAAAAAAAAAATACAAAATCAGAATTGAGAAACTGGCTAGTGGAAGATAAACACTTACAATCCTGGGAAATACATAAAAGGAAATGATCTAGTTATTTTTCTTCCTAGCTACATATATTTCCAATTACATTATAAGAAACTGTGAGGGAAAAAATAATTAAATGCTCTAGACTTATAACCACAAATCCAAAATCAACTTTTTAAACTGTCATGATTTT